AGCTATAAAGTAGTTGATACTACACTGTCAACAGTTTAATCGTTCTGTTACTATGGAAGGAAAATTGTTACCTGAAAACTGACATCCAGTTCTATTGAGTGATGGTATATTTTCTTTTGAAGTCAGTTATTTAATAAATAATTTTTTGTTATTACATAAGTATTGCTATTTTGAAGAGCCTTGGAACAATTACACATAGAACAAACAATGATACTAACATGTGTAATAAGATATGTTCACGTGAGATGCAACTGACTGCTGGATTAAATGATTAACATATCTGTATATACATGCTGCTGCTGACTGTATGATGAAGTCTTATAAAAGTGAATTTATGTAAAATTGTTTCTGTTATGTATTCTGTAATTAAGTAAAAAGATATAACATGTGACAGTGGTTAATATCATTTGTTGATTTGTGGTGCTGTATTTTATCTTACGAACAAGTATGTGATGATTATATACCAAATATTGCATTAGGGCTAATTTATTACAAAGCCCAGTTCAGATAAAGAAGGCAAGTATAGACTTTGTTTTGGATTAGTATGTATACTTCCAGAAGGGAAAGTGTTAAGAATAGATGCAGAAGCAGTAATAATTTTTATGACATTAATGAGGTTACTAAAGTCTGTACAATGTGACATTTCAGTGATGAATTCTTTGTCATACTCGCACTATTGAACCTATTAAACAGGACTTTGCAATTTAGCTTACTTTTCATATTTCATAAGTGAAGATAAAATAATGGTAGAAATTTGTATGTATCCAGTTGTGTATGTATATGTAAGTGTTGAACTAATGGATGGATTTTTATGAAACTTTGTATGAACATCATGCCATTGTCAACCATTCCTGCCTCTTTATACTTTTGTGATTTTGGGTTGTGAATTACGTGGACTTTTAGGTGAGTGTGTTGGATGAATGTACTACCTCCATCTTGAGGCCTTCAGCCCATCCATCTATAAGTTCACCCAGCATCACAACCAAGAACATCATCTTGGTCAGTTTTATTGCCATGAGAACCTCAAATCATCCTTTGTACTTGGTTATCAATGACTTCAGCCACGTAAGCCTTTGAGGTGCGAGCAGCAGTAGAGTTACTTAGTGTAAGACAGACATTTTGAGTAATAATTGGTTTTAAGACTTAAACTTTCATACAGATAAGTGTCAATGAATGGTTGACAGTGGGGTTAGGTGAATTGAAAATAAGGCTCCCAAGGTACAAATGTCCAGTTTCAAGTCATTTAAGAACATTTTTAATGGTGGAGAAAATAAGGATCAGATATATTTTAATTTCATACAAATAGTGATTAAGGAATTGCACAGCAAACGTCTGTTTAACGTAAAGCAGAAGTAACGGACGTATTAACAACATTTAAAACTTTCCACCGGATGCATTTCCGGTAACAAAAGAAAGGAGCGTTGCTTTCGAGTTCGAGAGTAGAATCGCCAAGATGGCTGCTGCTCTGTCCATGGAGCAAGAGCAGGTGAGAAGTAATTTTTTAACTTATGTGTTGTTTTTAAATAAATACTTGCTCGTGAGTACCATGAAAACTGAGTTTTTGCTCTGACGGATTAAGCATCGTATTAGAGTTGCATGAAAATGAGTTACCCATCGAAAATGAAAGTGAAACAAGAATGAGTTGCACGTCTTGCATGTCGAGTGATAACATTCTTATAATTTGTGCGTGATCGTGTATTGAAGTAAGTTCCACAAGGTAGCTGTTTACTACATCTGTGTACTGTAGTAAGTTCTTCAAGCATCAGTGTTATTTAGTACGAAATTATTGGGGCTGATGTAATTACATATTGTCGTGATTTATTTTTTGAGTGCACCAAGGACACATGGTTCTGACAGAACGCATGGGATTGCACATGTGGATCTGAATTATATTTATTCCTAAAAGTGGACGTGTAATTGAATGTTGGCTTGTGACAATGATAATTATAATTTTAAATTTAGAACTTTGTTAACTGATAGCAAAGAAGGTAAAACCTTCGCTGTAGCTATGAAAACACTGACTACCTGTGGCTCCGAAAGCCAGTGAATCGTTATTTACAGAATGACGGGTCAGACCGACGAGATTGTCCCAAGGGATGGCACTATTGATCGAAGCTTGCCTCCTCACTCAGCCAGTTTCACGAATTGTTTATACTTTTCCTGCATTCTTTCTTTCGTCTTTCCGTCGTCAATGCACTTTTAAAGACAGATAAAATACAGATTGTATTATCTTCTATGTATTTTGCGTAGTTTTGGTTTCTAACAGTTTTTCAAAAGTATGTGTATGAGCATTGGGCTTGAAAAGTAGAGTCCTCTGAATTCAGCAATGCCAGATAAATAGAATCACTTTGTATATTTCGAATTGCATCTCTGTGTGGTTATTTTTCTTCTGTTTGTGTTGATATAGTGCAGTGATACGCAACCGGTGGCCCGCGGCACACCGGTGTGTCGCGGAACCACCAGTGGTACGCGTACCTTAAGTTCCGAAACGCTGTATTAAATGGACACAACCACTTCGCAGCAAAACGTGTACCTCCCGTTTACTTTTAATGCCAATCTATGTATTTTTCTGCAGTCTACATCAAAAATATGAATAAGTATCTTCAATTTGAAATATTTACACATAGTAAATAAATTTTGGATCAAACGGTGGGAAATACTATATTTTAATTTATTTCAAATAATGAATATATTTAAAATAAATGATGTGGTTTAATGGAGTAAACACCAACGTTTCGAGAACCATCTTCGTCCTCAGGGTCCTACCCTGGGTATGTTATACTTAGTCACTGTTAAAGCTTTGGATCATGTATTACCTTGATTAACATTTGACTGCTTATAGATGCCAACCTATAAATAATATAAAATTTTGGTCTTGAAGAGTGTGATAAAAGCCTGTTGTGTGCAACTGTACCTCTGTTAAACCAGACTAAAAATTAAAAGTGTTCTTTGTAGGGAGAAGTAGGTAATGATAATTTTTAGTGATGACATTGAATTTAATGGACGCGAATTGTTAAAACTTGAACTAGCACATCATCTGTTCGCATTACTGTGGACAGTGAAGGGATGTACTAGTTTCATTCACATACAAACGCCCACTGCTTGAGGAGTGACGTAATTATTTACGAGGATGCTCAAATTAATGAGTCAATCTAACGTCACTGGGTGGTCTGTGCAGCATATAAGGAAGGCCTTATACAAAGTTTAAGATGAATTGTCGAAACCGTTTTGCAAGAAGAGAGATGATGCATAAAGGGAGACATGTGAAATTCCAGGCCCCTCATATCTGCCAAAAAAAACCCTGATAGTTCAGTTTGTATTAATTGTGTGCTTAGTGTTATAGTATAGATTGATATTTATGTAGGAGCAAAGCCTGTAAAACAGCTTATTTTATCAGGAGGAAATTAGGAATTATTGCCAAGTTGAGTAGGCTGGTTTTGCGCCTAACACATTTTGCTAATAATAGCAATTCTGAAGCTTTAACGGCGACAAAGTATAACAAGTTCTTCTCGGGCTACCAGCTACAAAGCAGAATCGAATCTGTGGAATGCTGTAACGAGTATCGTCCATTATACTGTTGCCCAATGGTAGTAGTAGCAGTAACACTCGAAAATAAATTTAAATTATTCATTTTTAATTTTTGCACGCCATATTATTGAAGTTTAACATCAAAAGTAGCTCAGACTGTATAGCGTGATTGATTAATGTTCAATTGGAAAGGACGTGGAAAGATACGGGCGTAGCATTGTTTCAATTGCTATCCCGGAATTTGCTGGAAGAAACGGAGGAAAACCATAGAAAATCTCTCTCAGGAAATTTGAACCCGGAACTTCTCGAATATGGAACGTAGTGGCAGCCATTTTAGCAGCTGCTACATTTCGGAAGTCTTCCTTATCAACAGGGTAGGAAGTGGATTCCGTTGTTCCGTTTCCTAGACAGGATGGCAATTCTTCACGTAGCCAACTCGGGAAATGACGTGTTTTAGCCATAACACGGGTTCACTAGTTAAAGCAGAAGTCAAAGAGAAGTGTTGACGGAATATTTATAAACAGACGAGAATCATAGTTTTGTCACGTATCGGCATCCGAAGGACATTTGATTCAATTTTTTGACATAAATACGTCTATAAGGAAGGGTCATTCGGCAAAAAAATGGAACGGAAAAAGGAAACGAAAAAGTGTAACCTGGTTACCTAGGAAACGTCATCTGTTTACTCGGCATTGTTGTTACCTTTTTTTTTTTTTAGTGTTCTGTCTGACGACAGGTCCGTATGAACAGGATCCTTCCATCCTTTTCTCGGATTGGGACCTGTTCATATACGTTCTTGGCAGATGATCCAGAAGTGGTTTGCCATTGCCTTCTTCTGTGTGTGAATGGAGTAATTGTTGGGATGCCACGGAGAAACCGGAGAAGCCCCCGGAGGAAATCTCCGTGTTGCCTAGACCACGGGCCTTGCCCAACACAAGTTATAAATTCGGGCAAAGGAAATATTTAGAATAAAGCTAATATATAAACTTCCTTTCCGTATAGACGTATTTACGTCAAATTCTCCGGAACCTTGGTTCCACTGACAACTTTTTATCTCCGAACGTCTTAAGACCGTCTATGTTTAGATTATGGATACGGTATGAGACGAAGTAGGGGCTTCAACCCATGGCCTGCCAGTCGCATGCATTTCACTGATGTCTCATTGTGAGGCCCGCTTACATTTCTGCAATACTTTGTCACTCTGTATACTGAAAAACAGTTACGCCAAAATTATTTTAAGTTTAAACTGATAATTAATACAAATTACGTATCAACAGATTTAATAAAATTGTTGAAAAAATATGTGAATCTGTTTGTAACAGTAAAGTTGTACCGTTACACGCCATAGAGGCCCTTGGGAGGCGAGAAGGTAAAGCTCCAACTCGGTCTTGAACTCGGCATTAGGTGGAAGTGAGTGGTCTGTTTCACGCCCCGGTCGCTTTATCCCAGAGGAAATAACCCCGGTACCCATTAGATAGGAGGTTACGTAGCCCTAGAGACGGTCTGGATGCACATGCTGGAAGAAAAATTCTTAGCCCATATGCGAGATCGAACCCCGGTCTTCCAGCCCGTAGTCAGACACTGCACTACGTTACCCAGGCTTATATAGTGACAGGCTTTGTACCTGCCGTGAAGTTTCGGTAAACTGAATTAATTTATAAGACGGCGACCCGGGAATCGATAAAAGTGGTGAATATTGCCTCATGTCATAAAACGTGATATAAAATATCATACTTCCGTAAAACCCTAAGATCTTATAAATTGATGTGTATAAAAATAGGATTTGTAAAGTAAGATTTATAAATACGTATAATGCAGGAGATGGAGTCATTAAGACCAGAGCGTCATGCTCCTCCATCTATGTTTTGTATGAGGCAGACTTAATCCGTTCATTCAGGAAGCCTTAAGTAAAATAATTAGCATGTCTACTCCATATAAACCTTACGTGATAATTAGATCTTTAGTTTATAACACCAAGAAACGAAGTGAGTCTTCTGATGTGGAAAATGAAGAATAGACATTTGCTAATGAAAATTGTCTCTCTTTTTTTAAAATTCTTGTAATATGATAATTATAATGGAATGAGAACTAGGGTCGTCTGCGTGTTGCAACACTGAGTTCCGTCAATTCTGCATGTTCGCCAAAGCCGAAGCAGGGACTTTGTTCCTGGACCAGTAGAGCGTGTTCATCTTGCTGTGACGGGCAGACCGACAACTCCGAGTGACCATACAGGGGGTTCACGGGCGTGACTTGTTGCGGAGGTCATTTGCCTCTCTCGTCGCTGTGCTCGCTAGCTTAGCTCATTAGGAACGCCACCAAATCGTATCGTTTTAGTGTGTAGTCAGGTTTGGAGTTGTTAGTGTTTTTGATTATTGAGAACCAGAATTCCATGTACGGCGTTTGGATACTTTTTCCCTGTATTATTATTATTGAGTGTTCTGTCTGACGACAGGTCCATTGCTCTGCCCAAAAAGAGCTCTCCAGTTTTCCCTATTCTCAGCTTCTCGTTTTAACTCCTGAAACTTCAACTTCTTTCCTTGTTTAAGGTCGGCCCAGTCCTCGCTTTCCTTCAACCTGGCCTTCGATGATATCACTCAGTAACTCATTCCTTCTCATAATATGTCCCAGCCAGTTAGCTTTCCTTCGTGTAATCGCCTGCAGAATGTTTCTTTGCTCGTTGACTCTCCTCAATACTTCTTCGTTGGTCACTCGATCCGTCCACCTGATCTTCTCTATTCTTCTCCAACACCACATTTCAAAACTCTCCAGGTACTTCTGTTCCTTCTTCCTGTATAAGATGCTAAAAGAAAAACATGTCATCTACTTTTCAAATTCCATGTTATACGAATAACTAACAGTTTGGAGCAGTCGTCACATCCGGTTTCTTCAAGATCCGTTTTGATAATTTTCTGCCATATCCCGTCTGGGTTTCGATAAATATATTGAAAGAACAATACA